GAATATAGAAGGAGTTGTGGTGCAGCCATCCCCCTGGGGGGGTGACTTCTCACTTTCTGTCTCTCTCTCTCTCCAGCAAGTGCACATGCCCTGTAGCAAAAATTTCCCTAAAAAAAAAAAAAAAGCACCTTTTGGGGACCAGCAAATGGCAAAGTAGTTATGTTGCTGGACTCCCACTTGGCAGACCATGTCCAAGATCCCAGAAGAAGAATAGATGAGACTCCAGTATGGCCATTCCCCTTGGGAGTAATTTCTCAATTTTTCTCTCACTGTTTCTGTCTCTCTCTCTTGCACACGTCCTAAGGCAAAGCCTCTTTTTTTAAAAAACACCTTTTGAAATACAGGGGTACTTCAAAAAGTCCACAGAAAAGTGGTATTATAGTACAAATTTATTTTGGTGCAAAAAAAAAAAATGGAATCCATGCATAGTTTTTTCAAACCATATATTTCCTATGAACTTTTTTTTTTAGAGAAAATTTTTTGCTATAGAGTGTGTACATTCACCACAGAGACAGAGGGAGAAACAGAAAGACAGAAAGCGAGAAAATCACCCCCTGGGGGATAGCAACCTGCAATCCTTCTCCATTCCCTCTTGGGATCTTGGGCAAGCACTTACATGTGCCCAGTGTGAGTTTTAAGCTGCTGGGTCCAGGACTTGAACCAGTCAACTATGCAGGGGTCCAGTTTTAAGCCGCCAGGTCCAGGACTCGAACTGCAGTCGGCCACATGGGAATCCAGTGCCTTTCATCACCATGCCACCTGCTGGCCCTCTCTCTGGTCAAATTAAAAAATAGTAATAGGAGCTGGGGGACCAGCAGTTGGCATATGTAATGGCTATGTCACTGGACTCCCACATAGTTGACCATGGTTGGAGTCCTGGACCTGGTGGCTTAAACATGCCAGTCACATGTGCATGTGTGCCCAAGATCCCAAGAGGATAATGGCGGAGAAAGCACTGCAGCATGGCCATCCCACCTGGGGGGTGATTTCTCGCTTTCTGTCTCTGTCTCTCTGTCTTTCTGGCGAGAGCACGTGCCCTATAGCAAAACCCTCTCCGAAACAAAAAATGAATAAAATAATAATAACAGGGGCCAGAAAGGTGGCATGGTCATTAAAGGCGCTGGGCTCCCATATGGCAAACCACAGTTCGAGTCCTGAACCTAGCAGCTGGCTTTCTCACTTTCTCTCTCTCGCTCTCTCCCCCTCTCCCTCTTCCTTTCCGGTCAAATTAAATAAGTAAATAAAAATAAAGTTAGAAAAATTAATAAATAAAATTAAATTTAAAATAATAGATAAAATGTACAAATTCAGAGCTGGTTCCATGGCCTAGTAGTTAAAGGAGCTGGATCCTACATGGTGGACCGCAGTTCTAATCCCAGCTCCAACTGCTTGATAGACATAACAGTGAGTGTGTGTGCCCTCAATCCCAACAGAATGAAGAAATGGAAGAGAAGATTATAGCCTAGTGAGCAGCTGCTTTCTCCCTCTACCTCCTTCCTCTGCCTTTGTCTCTATATCTCTCTGGTGAGAGCATACACCCGGTGGCAATTAAGAAAAAAGTACAAATTCCATAAGCTCAGTATCTTGTTAGTAAGCTAATTCAGGTCCTTTCCCTTCCAAATTCAAATTGTTCTAGAAATATAAAGAAGTCCAAACTATGCTTGACCAAGTTTGGTAGAATTTCAGTAAATTATTATTAAGGATGAACATTTAAAATGTTGAATATTTCAAGACAATGTGGTTTCATAAATTTTCTCCCCTATAATTTTGCTTCTTCTTTTTTTTTTTGTTTAAGAGAAATTCTTATTACAGGATGTATGCACTTGCCAGAGAGACATAAAGACAGAAAGTGAGAGGTCACCCCTCCCCGGGAGGAGGCGGGGCGATGGCCACGCTGCAATCCCTTCTCCTCCGTTCTCATCTCCAGATCTTGGGCATGCACGCACAACCACCTGGCGTGAGTTTTAAGACACCGGGTCCGGGACTCGAAACGCAGTCAACTGCATGGAGTCCAAAGACATAACCATTATGCCTTCCATTGGTCCTATCCCCTAAAATTTTTAAGATTTTCTTTTTCAGCCTTTCAAATTTTGAAACTGACTCAAAAAATTCAAGAAACCATTTTAGGATGGTTAAATAAGAGAACTAAACCTTTTGGGTCATGTGGTAAAAAGAAAATACATACTCAAGTTTCCTTTAGGGAAAAGTAACATGAGATTAAGGTGGCTAAAACCATGACAAATATTATAAAGGAAAAGAAAATCAATGTTAAAAGAAGCTTAGGGCCAGCCACTGGAGTGGTGGTTAAGATGACTGGATTCCACATGGCTAACTGCCCAGTCCCAAGTCCCAAGTCCCAGACTAGTGGCTTGAAAAACACCAGGAACATGAGCACGAATACCCAAAATGCAGAAAGGAGGGAGAAATAGCGAGTGCATGTGCACTGTGGCAAAATATTTTTAAAAATAAAAAAAGAAGCTTGTTTGTGAGTCTGAATACTGAACTTGCCAATATTGAACTAAAAAAATGAAAACTGACATATGGGGACCAGCAGTTAGCGTAATGGCCACGTCGCTGGACTCCCATGTAGTCGACCATGGTTCACGTCCCGGACCCGGTGGCTTAAACTCACGCTGGACGCATATGCATGCGTGCCCAAGATCCTAAGAGGAGAAGGGAGAAGGGATTGTGGCATGGCCATCCTCCCTGGAGGGTGATTTCTCACTTTGTCTCTCTGTCTCTCTCTGTCTGTCTGGTGAGCGCACGCGCCCTATAACAAAAGCCTCTAAAAAAAAAAATTGACATATGTGATAACAAATTCAATCCTTAAAATAACTGAAGTTATCTAAAAGCAATATGCAGAAAGAGAAACTACAACACTGTGATTTAAAAATTATTTACTTTGGGGCCGGCAGGTGGCGTGGTGGTTAAGCGCACTAGACTCCCACATGGCCAACTGTGGTTTGAGTCCTGGACCTGGAAGCTTGCCTTCTCACTTTCCCTCTCCCTCTCTCTCTCTCTCACTCTGTCCCTCTCTGGTAAAATTAAAATAAATAAAGTTAAGTAAAACAATTCTTAAACAAATTATTTACTTAGTAATATTTTGCAGAGAAATAATTGATAGGCGTTTTGGCTAAGTGGGTGGAAAAATAATGAATCATTGCTATAGAATCTAATTTGTAAGCTTCCAATGACATGAGAATGATTTACTATTTTTGTGATTCTCATTTTTTTTTTTGGAGATTTTTTTTTGCTATAGGGCGCGTGCGCTCGCCAGACAGACAGAGAGAGACAGAGAGACAGAAAGCGAGAAATCACCCCCCAGGGGGATGGTCACGCCGCAATCCCTTCTCCTCCGTTCTCCTCTCGGGATCGTGGTCACGTACGCACACGCGCCCGGCATGAGTTTAAGCCGCCAGGTCCGGGACTCGAACCGCGGTCGACTACGTGGCACTCCAGCAACATAGCCATTACACTAACTGCTGGTCCCATGATTCTCATTTTTGATAGACTAATCTTTTGTCTCAATTCTTGGAAGAATTTCTATTCTTCACAGTAGTGCAAAGAAAGGTTAAACTGCATCTTAAACTGCTAATATGCATAATTATTAAGAATGTTTCTCTAACATTTCTAACATTAAAAACAACTGTTTTTCTATGAACTTAGAAAACGCCAACAAACTTTTTTTTTTTTTTGAGAGGTTTTTGAGAGGACGCATGCACTGGCCAGAAAGACAGAGAAAGACAGAAAGTGAGAAATCACCTCCCCAGGGGAATGGCCACACGGCAATCCCTTCCCCTCCATTCTCCTCTTGGGATCTTAGGCACGCACACACATGCACCCCTGGCCAGAGTTTTAAGTCACCGGGCCCGAGACTCGAACTGCAGTCGACTACATGGGAGTCCAGCAACATAGCTATTATGCTAACTTCTGGTCCCATTAATTATTTTTTAAAGAATTATTTTATTTAACTTTATTTATTCATTTATTTATTTTAATTTGACCAGAGAGGGGCAGAGCAAGAGAGAGAAAGAGAAGAAAAGTGAGAAAGCAAGCCGCCAGGTCCAGGACTTGAACCAGGGGTGACCATGTGGGACTCCAGCACCCTTAACCACCACGCTGGCTGCCGTATCACTAATTATTGACAAACTAAATCTTCCTTTATTCATCTGTAGAGACACTACAAGGGCCTTACACATAGGTGGTGGTGTTCCTTTCCTCTCCTTCTTTCCTTTGCTTCAGTGCTATTTACTCTTAACTAATATTTTAACATTGAACATCAAGATTTTTTCAGAGTATGATACTCTGACAATACAGTTTGACGTAGGAACATGTAAACAATCCTCAACGCAAATAATAAACGACACTAGGTTTACTTGTTCAGGTTGAAAGATGTCTTCACCTTGTTTTACCCCATGTACCAAATACCTTAATCTCTGGACGAATCTCATTCTTTCTGGTAACGATGACAGTATTCAGCTGTTTGAAAACAACTGTTTTATTGAATATAGACCACTGTGTAAATCATTCGTTTTCCCAGTCATATTTCTTTTCCCCACTCACCTGGGACTTGGGCTATGACAAACTTCATTACATTACGAGCGAGGAAGCTCAGTTTGCCCCTACACTGATTGAGTGCTGAAAACAACACGACGCGCGCGTCACAGCGTCTTCAGCTGTCAAAGATCCCCGCCGCCTTCGCCTAACCAGGTGAGGAAACTGAGGCCGAGGGGAAGAAGGGGCTTGCCTGCAATCATCACGCTCTTTCCAGAAATAACCCAGTGTCTGAGAGCAACAGCGTTTTGCCTCGGGCCATCTGAGCCGCCTGCGGACTCCCGACTCTCCTCTCTCGCTGCCAGGTTCTGGAGCGAAAAAGAGATTCCCCTTCCTTGCGGGACCACAGGCAGGGGCTCTGAGTAAACCCAAGCCCAAAAGTGCGCCTTCCTCGGGGTCCACAGCTGTCGTCCGCTGCCCCTTTAGGAGGAGGAGTTGCCACTCACCTGCGACTGGAGAGAACGCAATCCCCGGTTTGGCTTCGGCCCTACACCCTGAGACCGAACTGCAAAGTGCGATGGCTGCCAAAGCCCCAACTCGCGTCAGCTCCTTCCGGGCCGGCGGGTGTCTCACTAGCAACTGTCCGTGGGACCGCAGCGCTGAACGTCCTCAGTTCCGCTTTTCTAGGTCTGGTCGCCCATCCGGTAGCTCAGCGCACCCGCCCGGAGCCAACCCTCACCACACCTGCCCGAAGGGGCTTCAGGGACCCCGGGGCCCTAGAAGACAAGAAAATACTTGTCTCTAGCTGGGGGAAATTACCTTTGGCATCTGTTTTTTTAAAGACACTTTATTTTTTCATTTTTAATTTCACTTTCTTTTATACATTCGATCACATTATTTAGCTTATAAAATGAATATTTCAACAGGTGAACATTTCTCCCTAGTACAGTTGATACAATTATAAAATATCTTCAACAGATAATACCACATTTGTTTGTCCCATTAATGCTTGCTTCCCTATTGTTCTTCTAAATGTCTTTCCTCAGACCCTCCTCTTTCTTTGTCCCTTTAATGCTTTGCCTCCCTATTGTTCTTCTAAAAGACCGTCCTCTTTCACACACTATATCTGGTATTTACATCTATAAACTGTGTTTCTATATCCTTTAGTCAATCAGTTTCAGTCATAAAGTGCAGACACTCGGTATATATTAAGTGGGGACATACAATGCCTCTCCTTTATAGCCTGGCTTGCTTGACTCAAGAGTAAATCTTCCATATTCATCCACTTCCTGTCAAAAGCCAAGGTTTTGTTGTTTTTTATGGCTGAGCAGTATTCCATAGAGTATATGTGCCACAGTTTTTCTATTAATTCATCTGTTCATAGGCATTTGGGTTGGTTCCGTGACTTAGCAATTGTGAATTGTGCCACAATAAACATCGATGTGCACTTTTCTGATTAAGTATTCTTCTGTCCTTTGGCTAGATACCAAGAAGTGTGATTAAAAACACGTTTTTAAGGTATGGGAAGGTCTGGAGGCTTGTGGGGAAGGGGCTAGAGTTTCACGCTGCTGAGTAAGGCTAGGGTCATATGCGAGGCCCTGGTTGGGATCCAGGACCAGCCTACTGCACCTATGATCCTAGCTAACTGGGAAGCTGGGGCAGAAGGCTACAAGCACAAGACCCTGTCAAAAGTACCTCTTTTTCCCCCTGCTCTTTTTTTCTCTCTCTTAAAAAAAAAAAAAAAAAAAAAAAAAAAAAAAAAGGTATTTGATGTGGTTAAAGGGCTGAGCTCCCACATGGCTGACTGAGGTTCTAGTCCTGGCCAGGCAAATGTTTGTGCCCAAAATCCCGAGAGGGAAAAGGTGGGAAAGGGATTGCCACATGGCCAGCTCCCTGGAGGGTGATTTCTTACTTCTTTCTCTCTGTCTCTGGTGAGCTAAGGTGCAAAAATCGCTAAAAAAAAAAAAAAACTAGGAGCCAGCAAGTGGTGGTTAAGGTGCTAAATTCCCACATGGGTGACCGAAGTTTGAGTCCCAGACCTGACAGCTTGAAAATCACACTGGGCACATGTGGGTGCATACCTAAAATCCCAAGAAGAGAATGGAGAAGAGATTGCAGAATGGCCATCTCCCCCCACCCCCCCCCGGGGGGGTGCTTTCTCACTTTCTTTGTCTCTCTCTCTCTCTCTCTGTTGAGCACACACTCTATGGCAAAAACATAAAATAAAATTAAAAAACAGATAAACCTGTTTTGTTTTTGTTTCTGTTTTTAATTTGCCAGAAGGTGCATGAACTGGAGAGAGAGGAAAAAAGAAAACGGAAAAACACCACCTTTGTAGAATGGTTACTCCCATAATCCTTTCTCCTCTGTCCCTCCCTTCAGGACTATGAGCATGCACACAGGCATGCCTAGTGCATTTTTCAAGGCTCCAGGTGGAGACTTGAACCCCTAGAAGGCCTTCTGGGATCTAGCCACCTGAACCATAAAGTTACAGGCTGGGCCATAAACCTTTTTTTTTTTTTTTTTTTTACCATAAGGTAGGTATGCTCACAGGATACCAGGAAAGTGAGGAATCATCCTACGGAGAGGATGGCCACAGCGCAATCCCTTCTCCTCCATTCTCCTTGAGATTTTGGGCACTCACACACTCATGCTCAGCACATTTTTCAGGGCACTGGGTCTGGAACTCTACGAAGTTGGCCATGTGGGATCCAGTGCCTCAATCACCATGTCACTTGCCGGCCCCATAAGCCCTTCCTTGCCTTTTTTAAAAAAAGATTTTTGCC